ATGCGTTCAGTGTCAATGTACACCAGGACTGGCCCAGCCTGTTTATAGACTATTCTGAATCATAACAACAATCCTAAGATGTAAACACTATGTTTCACCCCATTTTACAGATGCTGAGGTCACTCAGCTAGAAACCATTAGAGCCAAGAATACAAACATGGGAATTCATAGCCCAAGATCCATGTACAGGAAGGAGGCTCTTCCATTGTAGAGATTCAAATTACTTCACTCCAAATCCACACGTACTTCCACCCAAGAGACTCATGGATCCCAACCCCAAGTTTTGTGGTAGGATCAGATACTTTTACAAACAGTCTGCCATGGGGATTAACTTGGATCGTAGGGATAATGTTATACAGTAGCAGTTGTCAGACCCAAGTATAGAAAAAAAAACTCTAAAATAATAGGCAATTAACTATAATGCATAACTTTATTCATAATCTGTCCCCCTCAAAGATTTGACATTTTGACAGATTGTCTTACTCTATTCCTGCTACCAGAACAAAATGACAGTGGGTAATTTATCAATGATAGATATTTATTTCCCACAGTTCTGGAAGCTGGGAAGTCCAAGATCAAGGCAATGGCAGATTCAGTGTCTTGCTGAGAGTCTGCATTCCAAGACTTCCAAGATGGCATCTCCTTGTTGCATTCTTTGGAGGAACAGAATTGTGGCAGAAGAGTTCAAAGCACAAAACAGGGATTAACTCTCTCTCTCCTAAATCCTTTGTTAAGGGCACTAATCCCATTCATGAACATACTTTATAAAGCAAAATCTGTAATTGCCTCTTAACATCCCCCACCTCTTGATATTCCCACTTTGGGGATTAAATCCAACATAAAAACTTTGGAGAAACACATGCATTCAGACCATGGCACATACCTACTAAAAAGAGGAGTAGGGCTTGAATCTAAATGTTCTTCCTTCTAGTAAAGAGCTCTTTCTGCTGCATCTCACTGCTACATCAAAAATTTTGGGAATTTCACTGGGATTTGCCTTTGTTTTCTCTTCTCATTTGCTGACATTTAACAAATACTACTGCTCAGTTCTCTTTATTGTCTGCTAATGCTGAAATACACTGTAGAGTTCTCAAACACTGGCGGTGTGTGCCTGCTTCATCTGGGTTTAGCCAACCATGCTCACAACATTTGGAAGGATTCATGGAGTCTCACCTACAAGGACTGTGTCATTTTTGCACCATCTGGGCTCCATAGCATTCAAAAATTAAATAAATAAAATATTAAAAGTGGGCCTTCATGTAAAGAACAAAGTAGAGTTTGTAGCTGTTATTGTTGAAAACCAATTCAGTATAATGACTTTCAACTAGTGAAATTCAACCCAACCCAGAACATTTTCCCTTTTGTGCAGCAAATACAACAGATGGGTACATTAAAAAAAGAAGAAGAAGAAACCAGGATGTTCTCAAATGTTCAGAGAAAAAAATACCTTATAAATCAAAATCTGCAATACACTCATACTTAAATACAGCATCAGGTTTTTCTTTCCAATCTATTGACATTAAACATATCCATCCTGTCTATGTTCTCTTCATGTAAATATCAGAATCATACTTGTTTTGGGGTGCCATGATTCTCTTCAACTGCCATCACACGCTTGCCTGCATGTGGATAACACACACAAATCATACATGCACAGCACATTTCTGCCACTGAATGTTTAGCAAGATCCTCACAGCTTAGAAAAAGACCACTGTCCACCAAAGGAAGCATGGGTGTAAGAAACTGCTATAGTTTAAATCTTGAGAGTCTCCCCATGCATTAAATCCTCAGTATCCAAGAGACAACTATTGGGACGTGATAGAAACTTTAATATATTGGGCCTAGTGGGAAGAATTTGGGTCATTAAGTATGTGCCCTTTGGGAGGGGCTTGGGGAACCACAGTTGTTTTTGTTTGTTTGTTTGTTTGTTTGTTTGTTTTGTAATCTTCTCTCTCTCCCCTGCCCCCCATCTCTTTCCTAGCCATTAGGTGGGTGGTTTTTGCTCCTTCATGTGCTCTTGCCATGATGTGCTGCCTCACCACAGGTCCAAAAGCAATAGGGTCAAAAGATCATGGACTCGAATCTCTGAAACTCTAAGCCAAAATGACTTTTTTCTCTTTATCGATTGATTATCTTAACTATTTGTTACAGAAAGGGAAAGCAAACTAACATGGGGCCTCAAATCATCTTGACTGAATATGCTTACTATTAGACTTGCAGTGGCTATTTAAAAACCCTCTGTGGTAAATAAGCTAACACATATATCACACCATGAAATCAGTAGCCTCTCCAGAAGTGGCTCTTTCCTTTCTAGGTTCTCATTTTTCTTTTCCTTCAGGTACCTAAGTCCTCCATCAGGCTTAGGATTCTGATTCTGATTCTTGCCACCACCCCTAGCCACTAGGAATGCACTGTCCCCCTGTAGGCCTATTCCAGGAAACACATGCTTTACTTAAAGTGTGGTCTCTCAACCACTTCTGCTGGAATCTTGGAAGGAGCGTGTTGCAAATTCAGATTCCTGGCTCCCACTTTAAGACTATTGAATCCCATTTGCCTATAGATGAGTCCTAGAATTTGGATGTTTAACAGGTTATGTTTACATTAATGCTTCAGAACCACAGATATTTAACAAATAAACAAGGGAAAGTAAGATTAAAAATTAAAAAAAATGAGAATTACAAATAAGGCATCCATACAATTTATACTTTTGAGAATAACAGGGCACACTGTGTCCTACAGATATTTTACACCCACCTAATATATATTATTGCCCTCTGATTCCCTACTTGTATCTGCAACTTTGCACACTTTGAAGCAAGTAGCAGGGGCCATGGGACATTGTCTGGTATACCAAGAGACCATGATGGCTGGCTACCAGCATGTTTCTTCTGCTATCTTGCTATGTCCAGGTACATTTGGCATTACCAGCAAACCCATGCATGTTATCCTTGAAGGGGAGGTGCAGAAAGGAGTCAGGAGGAGGGAGACCACTTATCCATGATTATTTTTCTATGTAACCACATTAACCTAGAAAAACACTAAACCAGAGAGGATACCAAGTCAACAAAAGCAAACTAGGACTGTCCCAAGCAAACTGGAACAAAAGCACAAATTGTGTGACATATGTATGGGCACCTTATCTAGAGAGCATGTATTTTATGCAATATTGACCGGAAGTGATATTCAGCTTGATTTTGCTATCATAGCCACTTGTGATGGTTGATTTTATGTGTCAGCCTGACTATGCTAAGGGATCTCCAGATCACTGGTAAAACATTATTTGTGGATGTTCTTTGGGGGTATTTCTGGAGGAGATTATAGTTTGAATCTGTATTCTGAATAAAGATGATCTCCCTCACCAACATGGTGGCAGTATTTAATCTGTTGAGGGCCAAAAGAGAACAAAAGGCAGAGAAAGGACAAATATGTTCTCTGTTTGACCTGAGATAAATATATTCTACCCTTGAACATCAGCACTCCTGACTCCAGGGCCTATGAACTTGGTTTGGAATGGTAACACAAACATTCCTGGTTGTTCAGTTTGCAGAGGAAAGACCATGGGACTTTTTTTTTTTTTAAGAAAGAGAGAGAGAGAGAGAGAGAGAAAGAATTTTAATATTTATTTTTGGTTTTCGGCAGACACAACATCTTTGTTTGTATGTGGTGTTGAGGATCGAACCTGAGCCACCCGCATGCCAGGCGAGCGCGCTACCGCTTGAGCCACATCCCCAGCCCCACCATGGGACTTTTTTAGCCTCCAAAATCTCCCAAGCCAGTTCCTCCTAATAAATCCTGTTCTACATATGTGTATTTAATCCTATTGGTTGTTTTCCTAAAAAAAGCCTGCATAATACACTTTGGCATTTCTACTTTTGTCTCTATTTTAGACTTTCCCTTCCTTGAGGGAGAAATTCTGGTAAGGGATGCAGACATTCATTTTCTTTGCTCACTTATTCACATAACAAATACTTAGGGCCAGCCCAGGACAGCTGGAACTTGATGACCCAGTGATGAAATCAGTTACACCCCCAGCCCTGAAGGAAATGGAGGAGATAAATCCTGAAAAAAATGTATATGAATATACATAAAATAAACATTGTGATAAATGCTTTGGAGAAAGGAAGCCAAGAATGTGCGTGGGCTGGCTGCAGTGGGGCAGGGAAAGAGTTCAGGAGCAATGTCTCCCCATTCCAGCATGGAGCAGTAATTATTTAACCACGTATTCCTATCAGAAATAAATAAAAATAAAATGATAAAAAGTTACATTTTTTTTTCTTATGAATTCTAGGACCCTTTGCACAAAGAGGACAGAGTTCCTTCTTATATAATGTCCACCATTGCACAGTGGACAGAAGAGCTCTGCCTAGGGCATGGACACCAATACAAAGGAGGCTTTGTGTCTAAGTGGAGCATGAAGGAAACTAGCAGAGTATGACGAGATGAGACCACTACAGAGAAAACTAATGCATTAAAATGGATTAATTAATACAATTATACATTGATACTCATAATTAATACTTAATACACTAATAATAGAGTTTAGAGCCAGAAGTTAAAGCTGAGTGAGCCAAATTATTTAAATTTTGTAATTTCTATAAAATTAAGATAAGAATAGTTCTTACCATGTGCCATTTTCAGTGTGAATTAAATGAGCCAATATGGGTTGACAGGCGTAGATCACTGCCTAGCACACAGCAGGTATTCAATAAATAATTTCGAAGTATGTGCTCTACTATCTATTATAAAAAGTGAATTCATATTATATTATATTGAAAGTATATATTTTCCTAATAGAAGTCTGTACTAGTGAATAACCCCATTAGACCCCATTACTTGATTATGATGAAGATGAGAAATGCATAACATGAGAGATGACCAAGACAGCAGAGCATCACAGACGTCAAGAGGTACAAGAGAGAAAGCCCATAGACAAGGAAAGAAGAGTAGCTATCAGTAATGGCAGAAGGGCCATGGAGAATGAGAGACTGAAAACCAGAGTGTCAGGCTTGTTATTTGATGATTGTTATTTTCTTCTAAAAATTGTTGCAGTTCTCATGAGAAGTTACCATGCTACATTCCTAAATGTTGATGCCACACTCAGTCATTTACCCCTCATGATGACAAAACAGCTGCCAGGAGCTCTAGGTTTGCATTCGCACACCTTCAATTCCTGTAGAAAAAAAGAAAAAAAGAAAACAAAACATAAACCATACATCTTTTCTCAATGAGCTCTGCAATCATTCAAAGATACCACTGTGTTGGTTTTAATTGGGACCCTTGCCTGTCCCTAAAGGGATCAATGTGGCTGGGACAAAGAAGTATTCTGAGGAGTCCCATGCCATCCCTGGTATCAGTAATTCTTACACTTTGTGGATTGAAATTGGTAGTAAGGAGATTCTACCAAGGTAAACCTGAGGTTAAAATTGGATACTAGCAACAAAACAATGATCTCTTCTCCGATTAGCACATATAAAAAATGAGTAGGCACTGTTGCTTCCCTTGAAATGAACCCAAGGGGCAGTCCCGCCATCTTGTTAGGTACCAGTGGCAGCAGGGCTCCCTCTCATAGCCTCTCAGAGATGTGTGGTCCAAGGTAGAAGCTGGACGCCTTGACATCATCACCTATATAAATCTACAGAATTCTTCTGTATATCTAGATGGTTTCCATCATTTCTAATTGGAAGGCTTGTTTCAGTATTTCAATGAACTTTCCTTAACATTCATCAGTTCTGTTATAAACTTCCTGGCAGCAAAGAGCGGAACTTACCCTTCCAGGGGAAATGGTGTCTGAGAGCTCTGGGTGAAGAAGAAATGCAGTATAAGATTTCAAGGAAAATCTTTCCTGTTACTTGAGGTTATTCTCTTCACTGTTCAGGGGAGAATGTTGGTAAGATTCAGACGCAGAAAATTAGATTTGGGATGCCGGATGAAAACACTTTTAAAACGAAATTAAATAAATACATGTTAGAAATTGCTTGTTCAGAATATTTCAGTTTCTCTCTTACTCTCCATGGAGAACATTCTCATACTAAATGTTTCTTAGAAGCAAGGATTCAGCTCCCTGTTGTTCAAGTTCTGCAGAGATTCTACCACTTCAAACTTCTGCACTAGTTCTAAGTTTTGGAAAGATAGAAAGCAGTCATAATCATTTATAGACCTACATCCAAATACCAAACTCCTGTTCTTTAAATCTTGCATCCCTAGGCCCAAAAATGCAAAATGATGTCTTCCAAGATTTAGGAATCGACTCACTCTATTAACAATCTAAGTTGTGCTCTTCATTTCATCTCTGTCACCCAATCATGGACTATCATAATCGAATCTCTGTGCTTTGTGTGCTTTGCATTACACAAGCTGAGGAGCAGTACAGATTTTTTACTGCCCCAGCAAAAATACAAACACTTCTGTGCTTCCAACAAAAAATAGATCTTCATATGCCAAGACAGGAGGGAGAGGGAGGAAAAACTTCACATATCTCCATTTACCCAGTTCTCTCTGCACACTTTTTGCAAGACACCAGTTCCGGCATTTACCCTGTTCTTTCTCTTTCTATACACCTTTTGCAATGCTCCAGACTCTTCAATTTCAGCAGTTACTATAATCTTCCAGATGCTTTATTATTATTATTATTATTATTATTATTATTATTATTAATTTTAGAATCACATTTGCTTGCATCCCTCTACCTGAAATCATATAATGCGTTTTCTGCCTTTGTGCCTGTGTCTCTCACACACGCCTATCTATGAGCTGGTAATTTCATCCCGTAGCTCATCAAATTGCTCCTCATTTTCTGTTTTGTGAGAATGCACCACAGCAGTATCTTCAGCTCCATTTCTAGCTTTTCCTGCAGGGAATTAAGAGATGATTCTCTAGTCCTTTAAAGCAATCTTGGGACCTTATATCAAACGAAAATCTGTGTATTGTTTGTTTGGCCAAAAGTTGTCTTAGCAAGGAATGAGCATTTCTTCTTCTTTTTTTTTTTTTTTTTTTTTTTTTTTTTTTAAATCAGGGAAATATAACTGTTCCTCTTTATTTTAATGGTGCTTTCTTTGGTGGACATCTTATGTTTTCTAGGAGGAAGATTCTTAACTCTAAAACCTTATAAATGAATAGACTACTAAATACTAAGACTTGCCTTTGGGAAAATATCTAGAAAGGGGAAAAGAGTCTCTGAATGGAGTAAATGGTTCATGTCATTAAAGAGATTAAAAGATGGACACATGGAAGTTTTGAGTATCATCTTCACTGTGGCTGAAACAATACAACAGAGCAAAGTTCGAATGTGCTGAAGGTAGTTATGAAAACAATAAAACAGCACACAAATGCATGCTCCAGAGTGCATATGCTGCCAATGACCACCTATCCACCAAGGGACAATAGGGGCAGATTTCAATGTAAAGCATAAAGGAGAGGCTGGGAGCCAAGCCCAGATGTAGAGCACTTGCCTAGCACCCGTGAGGCCCTGGGTTCCATCCCTAGCACTGCAAAAATAAAAGAATGTAAAGGAGAGTGTTAATTGGGGAGATATTATTTTCCCAGATCCTCAGCAGCACCTCCTTTGTGTAGGGGGTGTGTTCAAGGGCAACACAACTTGGGGAAGAAAAGATAACATTGTCTTCCCTCATCTCGTTAGGGATGGGGAGAGGGGAGAAGAGAGGGGAAAAGTAAATAAAAACATGTTCTTTTAAAAAATAAGTCTCAGATCAATGAGGGCTACAATCAAAGATGAAGTGACCATTGTTACCGTCAGCCTTCTGTTTCAATGACAAATATCTGAGCAAGTTATACAGAAGAAATGAGTTGCTTTGGGCCTGGACTAGCATATCATGGCAGGAGGACATGACAATGCAAACTACTCACTAGGGACAAAAGGGAGGAGAGGAAGGGGCTGAGGTCCAACAATCCCCCGTCCACACAAACCAGGGATGTCAGCACACAATGATGGGGCAGACCTCCACAGATTCAGGGAAGCCATTGATGGACTTGGGTGTCGTGGGGACTCAATTTTCAGGATGTGAAAACGGCCATCAGTCACAGAGGGGACTTTGGTTTTATGGGGTACCATTAGGGTGGTTTCATCATTGGAGCTTGTGGGTGTGCCATTTGGACAGTTGGGGGCTAGTTACGTAGGTTAAAAACTTTTAACTCAGTAAGGCAGCTATAAAAGGTCGAGACTCATTGTTACTTGGAGAGACAGGAGTCCAGATTGTGAGGGACGGGTCTTTCTTTTCCTGGAATTTATGGTCTCCCAGGCTTTCAGGATCCACTGTTATCAGGAAAGGATTCACTGGAAGGTGAATGCTAGGCCAGTCCCCCCGACCCCGTATGCATTGTCCCTCTGCTTTTCTTTGGGGGATATTTGGGAGTTATTTTCCATAACTCTTCAAAGGGCACAACCCCAGACACCTAAAGTCCTTTGAGCGGGTCCCTCCTTTTAAAGGTTCCAAAGCTCCAGATAGTGCCTCTTTGGGTAATGAGCCTTTAACACCTGGCCTTTGTGGGGATACTCCAGAGCCAAACTAGAGCAGCCGGGAGACAATTTCAAGGAAATCGAGGTAGACCTTCTCTTTGATCTCCCCCTGTTCACATCATAATCCCCTCAAAATGTCTATGTCTGTCCTTTTCTACCATTTCCTCCACTATTCCTTGGTCAACCCTCTGGGTGTGACTTCTGCCCCCAAGGATTCAGAATCAGGAATTCTGCTGATCTCTTCTTTCCCCTTATTTGACATTTTGTCTGTAACCTCATCTTCCTGAAAACCTCTCCTTCCATCTTTTGGTGGCACAGAAGGATGCAGGAGCTTCCTTCTCCCTCTTCCTCTCTCCCTTTCCCTGTCTTCCTTGTCCTCTTTCTCCCTCTCTCTGCAGAGCTGGGAATCAAACCCAGCACCTCCCACTGAGCTATATCTCCCATCAATCTCTTTCTTTTTCTGACACTGCGTCTGCTTTATTGGCTTTCCCTCCATCCCTGGCTCTCACACAGCTTACACCAGATTATTTCCCTCTGGAGTTTCAGCCAGTTTACCGGCTTTAATGCCAAAAGCAAAACTTGCCCGTATTTGTAACCAAGCCCACTTTCTCCCCCAAGCTTCCACGCACTCCTCTAGCTGCAGTCCTGGGAGATGCCTTTAACCTCCTCTTCCTCCTGTGCCTTTCTCCCCTCTGCACATTATAACTCCTGGCAATGGTTTCTGCATTTCTACTAAATTATTCATGTCTGTCTCCTATAATCTTTGTGTCCTCCTTCTTCTTGATTCACATTCACCAAAATCTTTTTTTCTCCGTCCAACTGTTGGCATCATCTCCCAGTTGTCCTTAGTGCCTGTGGTCTCTCTCATCCATTGATCTTCCTCAGTGCAGGAGAGAAGATGACCAAGACATTACATCTGCTGTGAAGAAATTTTCAGCTGGGGATGAAGCTTAGTGGTAGAGCACCTGCCTTAACATGTGCAAGGCAAAGGGTTCAATTTTCCATACTATCACCATTGGGAAGGAAAAAAAAGGAAAAAAATTAAAAGGAACTTTTACTCCAATACAAGCTGGGGTCTAGAAAAATTAATTTTTTAAATTAATTAATTAATTATTTTTTTATTATTTCTTACATACATCACAATAGAGGAGTGCATTATATTCATATTTTTTGCATTGCAATTCTTAATACACCTTTATACCACAATTTATCAAATCTCCATTTGTATATAGGGTATGTTGACACCAAATTCACATCATCATACATGAATTTTGTATAATGATGACCGTCTCCTTCCTCTATCCATGCTATTCCCATTCTTTCTCTCTTTTCCTCCCACCCCTATTCCCTATCTAGAGGTAACCTTCCTCCCTTACTCTCCCTCCCAACCCCATTTTGAGTCATCCCCCTTATATCACAGAAGACATTTGGCATTTGTTTTTTGGGAATTGGCTAACTTCACTTAGCATAATCTTCTCTAACTCCATCCATTTCCCTGCAAATGCCATGATCTTATTCTTTTTTATTGCTGAGTACTATTCCATTGTGTATAAACGCCACATTATTCTTTTATCCATTCATCCTGAAGGATATCTAGGTTGGCTCCACAGTTTAGCTATTGTGAATTGTGCTGCTGTAAACACTGTAAAAGGTAATAACAGGTTGATGAAAAAATATAAACACTTCAGGCATTTAAAGACCTGCAGGGATCAGGCAAAGGACTCCTTCAGTGAAGGTGAAGTTTTCAATGACAACTGTGAGATGGATTTAAAGGGAAAAAAAAGAAACAATGGTGTACTTAGTGCTTGGAAGTTCTAGAGTATCTTCAGTTAGGTGTTTATGGCTAGAATAGAAGACACAAACCGGAACATAATGGGCAATGGGGCTAGAGAATGGGCTGTATCAGTCCCAGTCCCAGGAGAAAGAGTTAGCACACTCACAAAGTTCTGAGTGAGTTGAACAAGGAGCTGTACCACTATGAAAATAAAGAGTGTTACACCAAAGTCTCTCAAGCACAAGAAGCCATTCCAGTCTCTGACCACAAGGGATGGGGAAAGGCATGGTGTCACTGGAACCCGGAGAGAGTCCTAGCTGTGTAAGAGAAGCCAGGTCTGCTACCAAAGGGAGACAGGAGCAAGCAGCTCTGAGATGGGGAGTGAAGAATCAATGAGTAAAATCTTCTCTCACCCCCTGCCATTTCATCTCCTTTTAGTAGTTCTTATTGCACAAAATCAAGCAGAACCTGGAGAATAAGGAAAGCTGACACATAGCTAGGTCAGCCTTCCTGAACACAGAGCCCAGTTTGAGACAGGGACAGGATGAAAATGACGTGGGTTCTGTGGAGCAAGCATGGGTATTTCTGCATAGGTGGCTATGTGCTTTGTATTTCTGGCTTTTTTTTTTTTTTCCGAGCATGGTGATTTGCAATTTTCTCTGCTTAAAATCTTTATTAGATCCATTCT